AGGTCTTGCTGAGCGTCGTGAGCCTGCGTCACGTCCTGCGTTGCCTGTTCGTGCTGTTCGCACTAGTCGTCGTGCTCCGCGTCCGCGTCCTCCTGCGGTCCCAGGCATACACCACATGGCACTGCGTCCTTCCACTGCTCCTCTGCGTGTCCCGTTGCCGTCTCCTCCAGAGTCCTCTCTTCCTGTTCTTGCTGACCCGGAGTCTGACTCTCTTCATGCTGCCAGTCCTACTGTCACGCGTCTCCTGGCTACTGTTGTTACTGACCCTTCCTTTGAGTCCACTGCTGCGTCGGCCCTAGTAGCTGAGCTTGTCGACTTTGCTGCTCGCTGTCGTCTAGACTACGCTGCTAGTCTTGTTGCTTTGTCTGAGTCTGTCTGTCCTCCGTTCGTCAAGGGTGAGTGTGCTCTTAGCACGGACGTCCTTGAGGACAGGCAGGAGGAGTTCCAATGTTTTGCTGCTGCTTTGCCTCATCTCGTGTCCACGCTGATTGCCCCTGAGGGAGACCCGGATGCACCAGACATCCCGACTCCTCGATCGTATGCTGAGGCGATTGAGGGTCCCTACTCCTCTCAGTGGCAGTCAGCCATGGACGCAGAGATGGCTTCCTGGAAGTCCACAGGCACCTACGCCGACGAGGTTCCCCCACCTGGGGCGAACATCGTCAGTGGCATGTGGATTTTTAGGGTGAAGCGGCCACCGGGTTCTCCGCCTGTCTTCAAGGCGCGTTACGTGGCTCGAGGCTTCAGTCAGCGGCAGGGAGTTGACTAATTTCAGACCTTCTCTCCCACCCCGAAGATGACCACTCTTCGGGTGCTACTGCACATAGCTGCTTAGCGCGACTACGAGCTTCACTCTCTTGAGTTCAGCACAGCTTTCCTGCAGGGCAGCTTGCACGAGGAGATCTGGCTGCGCCGCCCACCTGGCTTCACTGGGTCGTTTCCTCCTGGTACCCAATGGAGCCTCCGGCGGCCAGTCTACGGTCTCCGACAGGCGCCCCGTGATTGGCACGACACACTTAGGACTACACTTGCGGCTCTTGGGTTTGCTCCTTCTACTGCCGACCCGTCGCTGCTTCTGCGCACCGACACCTCTTTGTCGCCGTTCTACATCCTCGTGTACGTCGACGACTTGGTCTTTGCCACTGCTGACACTGCTGGATTCGCCCACGTGAAGTCCGAGCTGCAGAAGAGACACACGTGCACTGACCTGGGTGAACTGCGCAGCTACCTTGGCTTGCAGATCACCCGGGACAGAGCACAGCGCACCATTATTCTGACTCAGTCACACATGGTGCAGCAGGTCCTTCAGCGCTTCGGCTTCACGTACTCCTCGCCTCAGGCCACTCCTCTGTCTACTCGCCACTCGCTCTCAGCTCTGCCTTCGGATGAGTCCGTAGAGCCGAGTGGCCCGTACCCAGAGCTTGTTGGCTGCCTCATGTAACTGATGACTTGCACACGACCTGACCTTGCATACCCTCAGAGCAGCTTGGCACGCTATGTTTCTCCTGGGAGACACCGACCAGAGCACATGGCTGCAGCGAAGAGGGTGTTGCGCTACTTGTGCAGTACGTCAGGCATGGGGCTAGTGCTTGGAGGGCGACGTCGAGTAGTCCTCACAGGTCACGCAGACGCTTCTTGGGCTGACGACCAGGCTACGCAGCGGTCGTCACAGGGTTACACCTTCAGCCTTGGTTCCGGCTCTGTTTCGTGGCGGTCTACCCGCTCGTCTTCTGTTCTCGGCTCTAGCTGTGAGGCTGAGATCTACGCGGGGGCCATGGCTGCACAGGAGCTACGTTGGCTCACTTACCTGCTGACTGACCTCGGAGAGCCGCCTCGTTCTCCTCCAGTTCTGTACGTAGACAACAAGGCCATGCTGGCCTTGTGTCGGGAGCAGCGCTTGGAGCACAGAACGAAGCACATTGCTCTCCGCTACTTCCTTTCTTGTGAGCTGCAGCAGCGTGGTCAGCTGCGCCTTGCTTACGTGGCCTCTGAGGCCAACAGTGCTGATATTTTTACCAAGGCACTTCCGCCTTGTGATCATCAGCGCTTGTGTACGTTGCTAGGTCTTGAGCCTAGCTGGCCTTACTTGCTCACTTCTTGACCTTGCTTGTACTGTGATCTTTCTATACCTGCACTTGCTTGTTTACCTTTTTATATATAATCTTGCATGTGAACTGGCCTTGTTGCCTTGCTCTTGTGCTCGGATTGTGTGGTGACGTTGTGATCCACCCTAAGCTTGCTTTGCTTTGCTTGACTGGTCTTGTGACCTCTTGTTCTCCCCCACTTTGCCTATAGGGGTGTGTCAAACTCATATGATATAGCTTGTCTAGGCTATAGTGGGGTAGACACTATGGGGTACAGTTTCCTTGGGTTTCCTACTTGTACCCAACCTTGTGCTAGTTCATTCATTCCTCATTCTTCACAAATACCGTAAGTCCATGTTCGTTTTCACTGTTTCTTTGAAGTTTAGAACACTAATTTATTGTTTTCCTTCATGTAAGACTATCAACATTCAGTTTGAATACAAAGCATAATACAAGTATGTAGCATGAATCTGAATGAATATGGATAAAGAAAGTACGGTATGAAAGCTTTAGTAATACTCATCAATCCAAAAGCTCTGCGTATTTGAAACAATATTGCTGGCTCATGCATTTCATACAATTTGAATTTTACATAGATAATGTAGTTTAGGAAAACGCAAAACGCTTCGCAACCCTAAGACGATTTAGTTGCCTCTTGTTTAGGATGTATTACATTATTCAATGCATACACCCACAGTCGTAACTTGGGCGTCCAAAATATTCTTGCTCCGCTGGACTGACACGAAGAAAAGTTGCGATGACTTTTGGCCCCGTCCAGGGAACAGACCGACGAAACTTTTCCCGCCGTGGTCCTAGTTCGTTTTGGGCTGCCCTTCCATTCAAGAGATTACTCGTTTCGTAATTATCAGCGGAGTACACCGAGTCATCGCCAACTTCACTAGGGCCAATTTCACCACCCTCTGTATTCATTTTGAATTCACCCCAATTGAAGGGTTTTTTAAAAAAAAATGGCTTTAAGGAAACCAATGACCTGGACTGCGCACATGAGTCAGCAGAAAAACAAACGAAACATGGTCGCATCGGAAGATTCAATCTTTGCGTTGCAATCTCAACGTCAGAAGGGGCAAACATCGAAACGTCACAATGCCTCGGATAGCCTCTAAATCGTGGGTGTCTTACCTCCTATAGCCTTAAGGTCAGTTTTGGCTTAAGGAAGTACTGACGGGGCATGAAATTGGCGAGGACTGTGTAAACCCAGGCTTGTAAGGACGTGGGCCCAATCGAGGGCCCTCGAGGGCTTTCCCTAGGCTGGTGTCAGGTTCATATTTTCCTGAGGAGATATCTAAGTTCCTACCACGGTTAACTAATATCAAGGAGCACTCGACTACCAAGGTCAACAGTTTCATGCATCACCAGCCAAGGAAGAAACCAAGGCAGTTGCAACCACAATGCGGTTATAAGAAACCGGTGCTCAGAGAAGTCATTTCAAATAACACAACTCCCCGTGCTTCATCCAGCCTCGATCTAGGCTGAGGAGCCATAGCTAGTTAGAACGAGAGTTGGGTATCGAGCGAGTTGAGAGAGTCAAGAAGGTTGCAAGAAAAGTGAGTGGTTTCACTAAAGAGCGAGCAGTACAAATAGGCAAGAAGGAAGGTGCACCACCAAACAGAACATTATATAACTACAGTAGTCTACACTACAGGCAGTTACAAAACAATATATATAATGATATATTATTCTGACACGCCCCCATAAGTGCCTGTAGGGAAGAATGTGTAGTCAACGCCCCATAATGGGGTACACGAGGCAGAGTGCGTAGCAGAACGGGAGAGGGCAGGCAAGGAGGAGGAGGGAGAGAGAGGGAGAGAGAGGAGAGGAGGTGGTAGGCTCTGGTTGGTCACCCCCTACATCCCCTCACCCTCCCCCTCCCCCCCCCCTCTGCTGCTCCTGCACGGCCGACGCACGGCCTCCCCGGGCGCCAAAGCAAGCGGCAGAGGGGGTGACGACTGCCCCCCCCTTTCAGGTCGCGGCCCCCGAAGGAGCCGCGACAGGTGACGGGAAGAAGGGGGGGAGCGGGACCGCAAGTGGGCGGGGCCGAAGTGGGCGACGGGGCCGCAAGGGTGGGCGGGGCCGCAGGTGGCGACTGGGCCTCAGGTGGCTGGGCCGCAGGTGACATCAGGGGCCTCTGGTGGCGGGGCCGCAGGTATAGGAGACTGGGCCGGGGCCGAGGGCGGCGACGGGGCCGCAACAGAGGGCGGCGAGGCCGTTGATGAGGGCGGCGACGGGGCCGCGACTGAGGGCGGCGACGGGCCGCAGGTGAGAGCGGCGACGGGGCCGCAGCTGAGGGCGGCGACTGGTCGGGGCCGCTGGTAGGTGACGGGGCCGGTCCGCAAGTGGGCGACGGGGCCGTAGCAAGGGCAGCGGGGCCGCAGTGAAGGGCGGCGAGGCCGCGACGTAGGGCGGCGGGGCCGCAGGAGTAGGGCGGCGAGGCCGCAGAGTAGGGCGGCGGGGCCGCGACGTAGGGCGGCGGGGCCGCGACAGTAGAGAGGCGGCGAGGCCGCGACAGTAGGGCGGCGGGGCCGCTTAAGCAGGGCTGCGGGGCCGCGACAGTAGGGCGGCGGGGCCGCGACAGTAGGGCACACCACGGGGCGTGCAGTACACTCAGTAGCAGCGGAAGCAGGAGTCCAGGAGCGGAACACGCTCTGATAACATGTTAGAATCTTGAGCTAGGCTGAGGAGCCATAGCTATTTAGAACGAGAGTTGGGTATCGAGCGAGTTGAGAGAGTCAAGAAGGTTGCAAGAAAAGTGAGTGGTTTCACTATAGAGCGAGCAGTACAAATAGGCAAGAAGGAAGGTGCACCACCAAACAGAACATTATATAACTACAGTAGTCTACACTACAGGCAGTTACAAAACAATATATATAATGATATATTATTCTGACACATCGCACCATGTCGCGTGTGACGAAGAAGACTGTCAAGCCGGTGAACAAGCCTGCGGTTACTGAAGTGATGGATCCGGCAGCTAAGGAGCACCAGTCAGAGCTGGCTACGCCGATGCCGTTGTTGAAGGACGTGGAAGGCCCTTTTGACGGTGGTGTGCGCGCATCGCTGGCAAAGAGGCTGTCTGCGCTTAAGTTTCCTTCGTCGGATGTGCCTGTTGTGGATGGGGACAACAGTACTAACGAAGGACAAGGCAAAGAGGAGGAGGTGAAATCGCCGATCGCTGCTCCCGATGCACCTGAGGAGGGGAGTGAAGACGAGGAAGAAGAAGATGATGGGTATCTCAGTGATGACCCTGATGAGCGTTTTGACCCGGTGAAAGCAGGAGAAATTGCTGCGTGTACGGGGTTCTCCATCACGCTGCTAATTCCGATCAAGCACGAGGAGGAGGTCCCCTGCACTATTGACACGGTCAAGGGACTCCTTGGGCTGTGGAGGAAGTTTATGTCGGCTCACGTACTGACGACGACCAGGTGCCAAGTCCTCTTGCCGGCGTGGCTGTCAAAGAAGCGGTATGGGAGGATGCAAGTCACTTTATAGCAAGCATCGGACGCGAACTACGTGTGGTGTCGCCGGATCCAGCACAAGATGTTGAATGAGGAGAGCATTTGCCTGGATTGGCAGCACCCGGAAAACCCGTTGTACATTCAGGAGCGTGCAACTAACCCGGACTCCATCGAAGTGCTGCTGAAGAGTGTCCCGGCGGCCATTACGTCGGAAATGGTATATGAATACCTGGTGAAGACGGTGCTGGAGAAGCGGGGTCGGACGCATTTCCTCAGAGGAGCTGCTTTCCACAGGGTGGTAGATCCGGTTACCGGTGTAGACACTGACAAGATTCGGGGTCTGGTTAAGGGACACCCGGGGGATAAGTATCGCTGGTGGCATTTGTTGGTCGACTCAGTGCATCACAAGCAACTTCTCGTTCATCACCCCTCGCTCACCTGTGATTTCTGCGCTGGCATGCATATGACGAAGTTTCACGATGATTTTGTTACGGAGCGGCAGGAGAATATCGGCAAGTGGAACCTGACTCTTGAATGTCTGCACGCGATCAACGGTAAACGGTCAACCACTAACCTCGTTTTTCAGGCTGTTGGGGCCCTGTTCGTCCCTGCAGACGCCTTCGTCGCCTCATACCTGAGCAGCTGCGTCCCTGCCTTTAGACGCGCGGGTGAAGAAGATCTTACGCAACCCTGCGGTGGTCTTGGTCTCCACGAGAGGAAGCCGGGAGGAGTGGTTGTGCGTCCAGGAGGCGTGTGGCAAGGCGCATGGCTCCAGCTTTACGCAGGCGCTAGCGCATGTGAAGTCGGTGCAGCACTGTACAGCTATCCTGCAGGGAGACGCAGCAAGCAGGAAGAGCAGGGGGAAAATGAATTTCCTTCCGATTCGCAAGGAGTTCGGGCTGTAACGGGGACAGTGCAGAGGAAGAAGGCTGTCCGAAGTATTCATGACCGAGGCACACGAGGCAAGCGGGGAGTAAGGAGGTTACCTGATCGTTGTGCGTGGATGTGCGTAGGATTTTTGTTGTACCAAGCACGTGGATGCGAAGGGGCTCTGTCTCAGTGGTTTAATGGATAACACCCGCAATCTCACACTGTGCGAGGTCAATGTTAATGGCCTCGGAAGCAACGGCAAAAGAACTGCACACGCAAAGTGGATCAAAACGATTGCAGACGTGGTGGTGCTCACAGACACGAGAATCAGAGAAGATCACAACTTCTGGACGCAGTTGAAACCCACCTCGGTAGCGGCGGTGGGGAACAGTGAACGAGCAAGAGGTGTTGCGGTGTTGTCTTTCAATGAGGAGATTAAGTTTACAGAGGCGATTACTCACCCATCGAGGAGACTGGTGGGAGTCACGGTGTCGTGCCCACAGATCTCTTTCAGGCTCATAGCGATGTACCTCCCGGCGCAGCCGTGTGCAAGAGGAGTTTTCTTCCGGAGCTGCCTCCCGCTGTTTGTCCACGCTCAGCCGGCGCACGCCCACCTGGTGGTTCTGGGAGACCTGAATTTAGTGGAGGACCCCGACCTGGACAAAGCGTCGCGCTCGGGCTCGGGAAATGAAAATCAGAGGTTGCTGAGTTTCTGGAGAACAGAGGACCTCAGAGACGCCTTCCGAGTTCTACATCCGTGCCGTCCGGAGTACACCTTCAGAGACAGGGCGACGAAGGTGAGAAAATGAACGAGAATGAAGGGGTCGAGAGATTAGCCAAAAGAGAGGGATTCACTAATGAGAATAGCAAGTACAAATAGGTAAACAGCAACACAAGGAGGTGCACCACCAAACATGATGCAATATCTACACTACAACTGCAAACGATTATATAAAATATGTAAACATATTTTGACACGCCCCCATAATTGATTGCAGGAGTAAGTGTAAAACGCCCACTCTGGTAAGTGTAAAACGCCCACGCTGGTCACCCACTCCATCCCCTCACCCTCCCCCTCCCCCTCCCCCCCACACTGCTGCAGGAGTAGCAGAGGGGGGTGAAAGGAGGAGGATGGGAAGGGGAGACCACACACCCGCCACCCCAATGCCACTCCCCTGGCTCACCCACACCCTCACACCCTCCCCCCCTGCGGCAGCTGCAGCAATGGGAACGAAAGGAGGAGGATGGGAAGGGGAGACCACACACCCGCCACCCCAATGCCACTCCCCTAGCTCCCCCACACCCTCACACCCTCCCCCCCTGCGGCAGCTGCAGCAGTGGGAACGAAAGGAGGAGGAGGGGAAGGGGAGACCACACACCCGCCACCCCCACACCCGCCACCGTAGCAGCGGCCTCCCAGGGCGCCAAAGCAGGCGGCAGAAGGGGCGACGCTCGCCCCCCCCCCCCCCCCAAGGGCGGCCCCCTCAGGTCGCCTCGACAGGCGACGGGAAAAAGAGGGGGGGGGCGGTGCACGTGCCCCCGGTGCGCCGCGACAGGCGACGGAGCATGGCCGGGGCGGGGCCGGGGCAGGGTGGAGGCAGGGTCGATGCATAGCAGGGGGAGGGCCGCGATAGGGCCACGACAGGGTCAGGGCAGGGCCGGGGTTGGGGCAGGTCCGGGACGGGGCCGCGACAGGGTCGGGGCAGGGCCGCGCCGAGGGGCCGCGACAGGGCCGCAAGGGGCGGCGGCGGGGCCGCTGGAGGCGGCGACGGGGCCGCTGGAGGCGGCGACGGGGCCGATAGGGGCGGCGACGGGGCCGCTGGGGGCGGCGACGGGGCCGCGAAGGGGCCGCGAGGGGCCTGAAAGGTCGGCGACGGGGCCGGTAGGGGCGGCGACGGGGCCGCTGGAGGCGGCGACGGGGCCGCGAAGGGGCCGCGAGGGGCCTGAAAGGTCGGCGACGGGGCCGCAAAGGGGTGGCGACAGGGCCGCAAAAGGCGGCGACGGGGCCGCTGAAGGCGACGACGGGGCCGATAAGGGCGGCGACGGGGCCGCGAAGGGGCCGCGAGGGGCCTGGAAGGGCGGCGACGGGCCGGTAAAGGCGGCGGCGGGGCCGCGAAGGGGGCCGCGAGGGGCCTGTAAGGTCGGCGACGGGGCCGATAGGGGCGGCGACGGGGCCGCGAAGGGGCCGCGAAGGGCCTGGAAGGGCGGCGACGGGGCCGCGAAGGGGGCCGCGAGGGGCCACTAAGGGTCTCGCGAGGGGCACGCCACGGGGCGTGCAGTACACAGAGTACCAGCGGAAGCAACACGCCAGGAACGTAGTTTGCTCTGATAGCATGAGAAAATGAACGAGAATGAAGGGGTCGAGAGATTAGCCAAAAGAGAGGGCTTCATTAATGAGAATAGCAAGTACAAATAGGTAAACAACAACACAAGGAGGTGCACCACCAAACATGATGCAATATCTACACTACAGCTGCAAACGATTATATAAAATATGTAAACATATTTTGACAGAAGGCGAGCACACGCATCGACAGGAGCTTGGTGTCCTTCTCGTTGCTCGGGCTGCTGGCAGATGCGCGCCACGTCAAGATCCCAAGGGGGCTGTCGGACCACTGGTTCGGCATAAAGGTAGCGCTCGCGGTGTCGGCGCCGGAAGATCAAGGCCCTGGCATGTGGAGGATGCAGGCAAAGAAGGCACGACGGAGAGGAGTTAAGACGGTGACAGCTAATATCCTTTAAAAACTGGAAAACGGGGAAGGGATGGACTTGGGGAAGAAGCTGAAACTGCTCAGCATGGGCCTGAGAGAATAATCACGGGAGGAGCGAAAGAGGGTGAAGGCGACGGTGCAGCACCTGGAGGAAGTGGTGGAGCGACTGAGGCACAAAGTGATGCGATACCCGGGGGACAAGAGAGCACAAAACAGATTGATGCGGAAGGAGGCGCACCTGGAGGCTTATCTCCATAGCTGCAAAGATCGGATGCAAGTATTGGCGGGAATCAAGGTGGAGCTCACCGGGGAAGTCCCGTCACCATACTTGTTGGCTAAAATCAAAGTGCGGAAAAAACGGACGGTGGTGCGGGATATTTCTCACCATGGAGTGGTGTACCAGGGGACAAAGGAGGTGCTGAAGGCGGCAGCGGACCATTTCAAAGCTGCTTTCGGCGAGGTGCTACCGGAGGAATAGGTGGATTGGGGAGATTTCTCGGAAGGCGCCAGATTCTCAGAAGCGGACGCGGCGCTCCTTGGGGCGGACTGGACGGAGGAGGAGGTCAAGCAGGCGCTGGAGAGCCTCCCGAAGAGGAAGTCTCCCGGGCAGGACGGCTTACCTGCGGAATATTTCATCCTGCACTGGGATCTGCTGAAGGCATACGTGATGAGTTTTGTCGGGGAGTTCGCTAGGAAGGCGAGAATGCCGGAGAGCTTATCGACGGCTGTGACCGTCCTGCTGCATAAGAAGGGGCCAACAGACCAACTGGGGAACTATTGGCCCATCACACTCCTGTCAGTCATGTACAAGGTGATTACAAAAGTTATGGCTACGAGGCTCAAAAAGGTGCTGGGCAAAGTCCTGTCAAAAGAGCAACATGGCTTCTTACCGGGGAAAAACCTGGCGGATGCAGTACTGGTGGTAGCGGATGTGGTGGAGGCAGCGAACAGCGGCAGGGAAGACTGGCTACTGCTGCTGGTGGATTTTCAGATGGCCTACGACACGGTCTCGAGGGTCTTCCTTTTCAAGGTCATGAAGGAGCTGGGGGTGCCTGAAAATTTCATCGGCTGGACCAGGGGCCTGCATGCAGACGCAGGGACAAGGATCATAATTAACGGATGGTTAAGCGACAGGGTGGAGATGAACAGAGGTGTCAGGCAGGGGTGCCCACTGGCGCCATACCTGTTTCTTTGCGCACTCGAGCCGTTATGTAGAGCCACGCAGCGGGAGAAGCTGGGTATCGGACCGGTCATGAAGGAGCCGCTTGCATACGTGGGATATGCTAACGATACATCGTTTTTGCTAAGTGGAGAAGCCCAGTTGCGGAAGGTGGTGGAGGTTTTGGACGCCTTCGGGAAACAGTCAGGTTTGAAGGTGAATTGTGAGAAGTCAGTGGTGGTGCCGCTGGGAAGCAACCGGGGGGAGCCGGCGCCGGCAGACATCCCGTATAAATGGTCGGAGCAGGGAGAGCCGGAAAGACTCTTGGGGGTGTGGATAATGCCCAACGGTGACCCGGGTCCATCCTGGAAGAGGGCGTACGAAAGGATAAAAGAGGAGCTGAGGAAATGGGAGGCGCAGTATCTAACGACCACGGCAAGAGTGGCGGTGATTAGCTGCTATGTCCTGCCAGTACTGATGTTCCAAGCCCAAGTCTACTCGCCGCCGGAGGAGACATGGGAAAAAATCAGGAAGCTATGTCATGCGTTCGTATCGGCGGGGGAGGCGGCAGAAGAAAAAAAATTCATTCTGTGTAGCGCGTACCTGGCGTGTCTGCCGCGGAAGGATGGGGGTCTGGGGCAGCTGGACCCAAAGCTTTGCTTGGACGGGCTGGCGGTCCGCAGGGTCGGAAAGCTTCTGAAGGAGCCGGACGGAACGTGCCAATGGCTGGCAGAAAAGGCGGCAGCTTTCCCGCAAGGGCTGGCCACGCTGTACGCACGCCCGTCGGCGATAAAGCAGTGGCAGCACGGCAGTGAACGATGGAAGGCGGCGGCAAAGGTGGAGGAGGAGGAGGAGGAGGAGGAGGAGGAGGAGGAGGAGGAGGAGGAGGAGGAAGAGGAGGAGGAGGAGGAGGAGGAGGAGTAGGTGGGAGGTGGAGGAGGAGCTTATTTGTTTCAACAGAAACATCCTGCATCGGGGGGAAAGCCCTTTCGGTCACCAGATAGGCACAGCGGCCCTCGTCACCACACGCGTTCGAGACCTGCTCACGGACGGGCCAGGGGGACGGAGGGGGGTGAAGGATGAAGAGGTGCTGACGATTGAACTGGGAAGCAAGGAGGCGGCGGTCATGGCAAGGAAAGCGTATTGGGCCATGCCGCCAGAGTGGAGGAATTTGATCGAGGAGTCGGCAACGGCTGAAGCTGTGGTGAAAGCATCAGGAGTGGTGAGATACATCCTGCATGGACAACCGGCTAGACTCCCATGGGCAGTGGACGGGGTGGACGGCACGAAGGTGGTCGTGTCCAGCATGTCCCTCGGTGAAGACGGAAGAATAGGGAAAAAGGCGAGAGCGGAGAAAACGTGTTTCGAAGCGTGCAGACTCCAACCGATGGCGGTTCAAGAAGGAATACTGCTTGGCCCCGTGGGAGATCCAAAGGTGCGGTTGCTGTCTCTACCAGGACTGTTCACTGGGGGAGAGTTGGTGCCGCTACGCAGGGTAAGGGCTGCACTATCCAAGGCGGAAGGGCGTTCTTGGAGACAAGCGGAGTGGGAAGAAGCGTGGGGCAAAAAGATCGACTGGCGGAAGGTCATTGAGACCAGAGACTCGATAAATGTACCGAGCAAGGCGAGGGACGTCCTACTAAGGGTCCACAGCATGAATCTGCAGGTCGGGGGGAGGCTGGATTTCTTCCAAAACAAGATAGCATGCGCGCACTGTGGAGAGGAAGAAACCCTAGCGCATTGCCTCTACAGTTGCCCGGTCATACAACCGATCATTGGCGCGCTTAAGCGGACGTTGCACATGCTGAACCCGGGCAGGTCGGTGGACTGTCTGGGGGACCTACTGTTTGGCGAAAAGGGCACGGGGTCAGAGTTTCCGGAGATGACGTTGACAGCAGTGGTGCTTAGGCAGATCTGGTTGGCGCGATGCAATGCAGTTTGGCGCGCAGCTCCTTTCGAAAGAAATAAGGTGGGGAGATGCACTGTGCTGGACTTCATGACGCATGCGAGGGTGGTGCTGGCAGCAAGGGGAAGGTCGGCAGCGACTGAGGAAGGGAGAGGTTTCTGGAAGACAGACAACTAGAGCCATGTGGTTGCGGATGAGAAGGTGCAGCTTCAGAAGATTTGCGATGATGGTGGGCCAACAAATTGGGCGGCTCCTTTCCTCTCCATCTGGCGCAACCCGCGCACTTTCCATCAACCTCCGTAGCATGCCACAGGGGGGTGGTGCGGCGTCCACAAGGCGTGGCCTAGACCCTCCAAGATATACAGTTACGACTGCGGATGTATCTATATTTGATAATATAGTTACACCTAAAAAAAAATCGACTTTGATCGGCGCGATCAGAGGCGTTCATTAACTTCGAGGAAGGCGGGAAACCAATTTCAGGCAATCGGGGGCAATCGGATGATCGCGATCAGCTGATCGCGCCACCTCGATCAACCGCCTCGAACAGCCCGATCAGACCCAATCAGACACAATCAGCCCCGATCACTTGATTGCAAGTGATCGGGGCCCTGGGCGATGTAAGCGACATGTAGCACGCCTCGCCATGAGATCTCGAAAATCCTCGCTCATACATACAGACCAGCGAGAACTGTTCTGGAGCGGACCCTGTGCGCAGTGCGATATTTGCGACATTACCACGATACTTGGATTCGCCCATCTCGCCAAAGTTGGGGTGCAACTACCAGGTAATGGGCCACCGGTTGTTATGCAAGAGCGCAGAATACTCGAGGAAAATCAATCCTGATCGAGCGGCGCGAGAAAAACGATCGCAAGCAATTCGATCCAAGAAATCCCGATCAGATCCGAACCGATCAAAGTAGATTGGGCCCACGTCCTAATGCTTGGTCCTCGCAGCAGCTGCAGGTCAGGTAGGACGTGGGCCTTATCAGGTTTGACCGCCTCGATCAGACGCAGTCGAAAACTTCCAGGAAGCCTGGAAGCCAATTTCAGGCAATCTAGGGCAATCAGCTGATCGCGATCAGTTGATTGCATGTGATCGGGGGCCATAACGACTCAAGCGAAAGTTTACACAGCTGTACTGGGTATCGTGAAACTCTCGCTCATACATTGCAAATGGCGAAAACTCTCTCGAACAGCCCCCAATCACGTGCGGGACGGGGTTTACGATATTGCAGGGAAACAGAACATTTCGCAAAGTGGCCTTCTTGTCGCCAGAATCGTTTTAATGAGGACGAGATTGCCAGGTAAGTCAACCGCGCTTGCTGTGCAGGCGCTGAAAAACTTTCTCAAAATACATGCTGATCGGGCGGCTCGAGCAATGTGATCACAAGCAATCCGTCGAGATCAGATCAGTCGCGATCGAACTGGATTGAGCCCACGTCCTAGTGGTGGGGGGTGGAATCAGATTTGCGGCCAGGAGGTTAAAAAAGGGCCCCACCCTCACGTCATCCGCACAAGCCAAAACCTCAAGTGGCGGGAGGTTCGTAAGACACAACCACCAACATGCTGTGAATCTGTGATGAGCTGTCGAGAATCCAGATTCCATCGGCGTTGCACCTTTCACTGCTCACTCACGGGTGCAGAATCACGAGGAGTCAAATGATGACAGTTAAGACAAGACTCGACGTTTAAACGCCGGAAGGGTTGCGTAGACTGTTACGGTAGCAATTCTCTATAACGTCCCTCACGTATACTGAATCTGAAGAGTATTTCAGTAGTAACTCGCCGATAAAACAATTAACATAACAATAGTGAAATGAAATATTTCGATCTGTAATAGATGGACATTGTTTAACCATCATACGCCAATAATGCGACATAATGGAAGAATCGTAGCCGAATTTGAACAAATCATTTCATTCCAATTGACAATATGCAGTATGATTTGTTGTGTGGCTATGAGAGTTGCAAAGAAATGACACGCTGAAGATTATCAGTCATCACTAACATTCGGATAACAAAATATGAATGATACATATTTCCATGATCTATAAACAATCAAACCACTAGCAACAGATTGGAACTTATATAACTTAGAAACCAACTATCACTAAAGGAGATGTTTTGCTGACTTGGGGTTAGGTGAACAGTCCCATCCTTGGCAAGGGTTTCGTTCTCCCCCCCCCCCCAACCAACTGCTCCTCTCAACCAAAATGCTCTCACGACCGTTCCAACTTTTTTGAAGCCGTTCAAGAACTCCAACCACCTTCTCAGGTACTACCGTACTTTACCTTGTTAGTGCCTAAACCGCGCGCGCTTAGAGAGCTTGCCATTGACTCTCGTGCATTAGGCAATATAGCATAGAGCACTCGCCCTAGGGCGCTCATGCCTTAGCGCTTATGACGCCTACGCGCCAAGCGCGTTGGCCTTGGCGCTCGCGCCTTAGGCGTCATTGGCGTGTAAGGCGAGGGCGCCGTTGGCCGCCGGCGCCGTTTGCGGTGGCGCCTTTGGGCGCTGGCGCTGGCGCCTTTTGGCGCTGGTGCTCACGCCTTTGGGCGCTGGCGCTGGCGGCTCACGCCTTTGGGCGCTGGCGCTGGCGGCTCACGCCTTTTGACGCTGGCGCTGGCGCCTTTTCGCGCGAGCGCCTAAGGCTCTGGCGCCTAACGCGCTGGCCCCTAACGCGTTGGCACCTAGCGCGCTGGCGCCTAGCTCGCTGTCGCCTAACACGCTGTTGCCTAGCGCACTAGGCTGTTTTTTCTTCTCGTGCAGGCTGTGGAAATTGTGCAGGGTGTGTAAGGTGTTTTCTGTGTTATTGCTTCTTGTACAGCGTAGTGGAATTGCATTGTCTGTTTCGCGTTCTTCTGCAAAAGTATGTGAGTTGCATTCTCTGTTTCGCCTTTTTTCTGCAAAGTGTGTGTTGTACTTTTTGTTTTTGTTTCATCTTTTTTTTTTCTTTCTTTCTTGTGCAGGGTGTGAATTGTGTTTTTTGTTTTTGCTTTCTTGTGCAGGGCGTATGAGAAGCGTTCTTGCTGAAGGAAAGGGAGGGTTTTTTTTGGGAGAGAAAAGGAAAGGAAAAGAGGGGAGGATAAGGATGGTAGTTTGCAAGAAGGGGGCAGAGGAGATGATAGAGGAGGGATGGAGGAAGTAGGGAGCAGGGACATGTATAGCAATTAATGACACATAGCTGAACTCAATTGCTTCTTGCTATGTTTGCGTGTTCATTATCTGTTTCCTTCTGTGTGTGATGTGATGTGAATGTCTTTGTGTTTGTGTGTTACGTGTATGTGCACCGTATATGTGTAATCTTGTGTGTGTGAACCACATTTTTTTTGTCAGTTGATGTACTGTCTGTTTCGAGGTGTGGTGCTAAGTGACTCGTGCTTGCAGCTGAGGTTGTGATCTTCGGTGGGGCAGCTTTGCTCGCCTCTTCCGTACCGGATCAATTTTTGCTGCAACACCGATTCATTTAACATTCACTTCGAGGCATTCATGTCTCTGTATTTTCATTGTTTGTTTGCATGTGGACATTCGTGTTCGTTTCAGGACGTGGTGTTGAATTGCTTTATGTATGCAATTGTGGTTGTGATTGTCGGTGGGGTAGCTTTGCTTGCCCCTTCCGTACCAGATCAATCGCTGTTGCACCGTAGATGCATTTTAACATTCACCATGAAACATGCACGATTGTTATGTTGGTTTTGTGCATGTGGTTTTGTGTGTGTTTGAGGGTGTGAAGTAGAGTGCAATACTTTGCGTTTGTGAGTGCACGTTTGATCATCGATGCGTAAATCATTGTCCAATTATTCCATTCGCCGTACTTATCGACGATTATGGAATGATTGGACACATTTGTTTCCATTTTTCGGGTAACTTGCGGGAACAGTGATTTCATCCATACTTTTGGAGAAAAATCACTGTTCACGTCAGTCAACCGAAAAGTGAAAACGAATGTATAAGGTTGCTACGCAACCCAAAAATGCGTGTGTACTTTTCTCCCCAACCTCCCACGTGACTGCTA